AATTTGTCGTTTAAAAAAGAGTTGTCTCATTGACACTAATGTCGCATATGTTTATAATTAAATTTACTTGTAGCTTCCATGTTATAAAGCAACTGCGTTTTTATCTTATAGTCAAATTGTGTCATGAATCTAAGTTATTAGGGTCGCCCTATAGTGGTCAGTTTGTACGTCCGTCAGTTACACAATTATGTTTGCCATATATCTTGATTACCGTTATGATTTATTTCAAAATGTTTGCTTTACATGTACATTAACCACCACCAGAGTCTACATCAAAACGTTTGTAGGTCAAAAGTCAATGTTAAAAACTATTTTAGTATAGAACCCGATGTTCTATGGTAAAGATCTTTTCTGCTATTTTTCATAAAAACCATTCTGATTTTAAAGTTTATATTTGACATTTGTATGAACCAAACTAGTCTTCTGAATTACATAGAACGAAAATATTATTAACTTTAGAACACATCTAAAAATCAAATTACAAATTTAAGATAATTAGTGAAGTAATTATTTGAAAATATTTGTATATAAATTTTCTAAATGAGTTACCATAGCAATACCTTTTTCAGACAACAAGAGAGATATAACAGTGCTCAATCCAGGACAAGGTCCGTGATTGAAAGGACTTTCGGACGTTGGAAAAGACGGTTTCATCTGCTGCATTCAGAAATCAGGTTGACCCCTGACAGAGTCTGTAAAGTTATTGTTGCCTGTGCCATTTTATTTAATTTTGCTATTTTGCAAAAAGAGCCAATGGTAGATGACCGGGAAATAGAAGATGTTGATGTTGGACAAGATTTGGGACATCAAAACGGAATTAATATCCGTAACTTAATTGCCACAACTTATTTCTAGTGTTATATAAATTGAATCAAACAAACTGATGAAATAACATTTATTTTTATTTTCATGATGCTGGTCATTTCTAGCACTGATTTCAATTTGTAAATCTCTTTGTTTTGTTACAGTTTATTCATACAAATAATTTTTTGAAAGCTTTAAAATGTACATGTGCAATATGGTTTAATGCTACATTTTCTAAACGTAGATAGTACAAAATTACAATTGTTTCCCTAATATAATGAGGATAAATCTTTTAGCTTCATGCAGACTGTACTTGTATATAAATTGTTTTCACAGAATATAGTTTTTTTTTGCAGCAGATTAGAAAAAGACCCAAAAAATCAGTCCACACTGATTTTACAAAGAGAAATATTAAAATTTTCACAAATTACTTTTTTATAATCACTAATTTGTTAATCACACAATTAATTGAAGATCTAACAATTGATACTGGAATGTAAAGTCTCACTGTTCATTATCATTTAATTCCTGTTTCAATTTCTTGATCTTTAATTTCAGGAGAGTTTTGTCTAGCTCTAGCTTTTCTCTTTTAGATATTATTTTTCTTTTCATCTTGAAGGATTCTTGTTTTGTGCAGCTTCAGAACTTCAATTTGAAGCTCCTGGTAGGTTTGCTTTTTCTTTGGCTGGGTCATTGATACCGGTTTAGTTATTGAAGTTTTAGCGTTTGTTGCTATTAGTGCTACAACGGAACTTACAGAAGCTTGCTGCAAATACATAAAAAAAATGTTTTTTTAAATTATTATGTTCATCCTTCATATGAAATATTAATCGTTTGCACCCTGTTATTGCTGAGAAATATATCTGAGTAACATGAACTGACACAGCATAGAGTTTTAAAGGCAAATATAATAACAATAATAGGACATTATGTAAACTTCAACAATAACAATAAAATGCTCCGCTGGGACGCAGCTTGATACGACCGCAGAAGTCGAACCCTAAACAGTTGGGGCAAGTATGGACACAAAATTCAAGCTTGATACAGCACTGCATTTGGATTGTAATTAAATATTTGACACAACATAGGTTTCTGACACAGAATGAAAGTGGTCTAAGAACTTAAAAAAATTTAATTTACCTATTCAAACCATATCATTATTATTTGCTTTTATACATAAATCAGAAATAACTAATTTAAAATGGAAAATTTTAAAGAAAAAAAAGGGAAAAAAAATCCCCCTTAAATTTTTTGAACCCCCTTATGATTCATCTCCCCCAAACTCAATCTCAGCTTTCCCTTTGTGGTATGGTACCTTGCAGTACAATTTCAGAGAGATCCATACACTTGAACACAAGTTATTGTCTGGAAACTAGAAAAATGCTTGTTTTTTGGCCCCTTTTTGGCCCCAAATTCCTAAACGTTTAGGGCAATTACCCCCAAACTCAAACCCAGCTTTTCCTTTGTGATATGGAACATTGTAGTACATGGAGGATTTTGAAAATAAATAACTCAGCCTTGATAATAAGAAAAAAATAATGGTTTGTCCTGTAGTAGTTTGAAAATTAATAAAGTTTAACTGACTTAAAATGTATTGAAAATAAATAACTTGGCAGGTCTTTTAAGCCATTTTATAAATGCTATTCTAAAGTATGAGATGGCACCTGATTCTTCCAAAATTCGTCTTTTTTCATTTTTTTAGGGAAAAACTTCCCAAATCTTTAAATAATATAATGTATAATTATTAATTTACTTGAAATAAATGTCTGAAAATGGGTTTCATTTAACTTAGGTATATTGTCTCAGGAACATTTACTTTTATTCTCTTTTGCTTTCCATTTGTAATTTAGTAAAAAAAATTTAACTTGACTTTTATTTTTTTTAAGGATTTTTTATCTAAAAATAAAAATAGCAACCACATCCATTAAACTATATGTGAACTACATGTTTTTGCTTTATCCTACATATTGGTCTTTTGATGTCCCTAAAAACTAAAAGTCTTACACTGAAACTATATAGTTTACCTTGAGACCAAAATATTGTCAAAAAATAATAAAAACAGAAATTGCATTTTTGATCAAGAAAGGTTCTGGGAAATGCGCAGAATGCATGATTTTGCATACATTTTTCTATAGCTTCTTCGGGCCTTCAGCGGCCCCAAAACCCTGCGCACGAAATTTGTTTAGTTTTTTTTTAATATACTTTATATTACTTTTAAACCATGCTAGTGCCATTGTTTTACATAGATATAAGAAGATGTGGTATGAGTGCCAATGAGACAACTCTCCATCCAAGTCAAAATTTATAAAAGTAAACCATTATAGGTCACAGTACGGTCTTCAACACGGAGCCTTGGCTCAACCGAACAGTAAGCTATAAAGGGCCCCAAAAAATTACTAGTGTAAAACCATTCAAACGGGAAAACCAACGGTCTAATCTATATAAAAAACGAGAAACGAGAAACACTTATGGACCACATCAACAAACGACAACTACTGAACATCAGATTCCTGACTTAGGATAGGTGCAAACAAATGCAGCGGGTTTAAACGTTTTAATGGTACCAAACCTTCACCCTTTTTCTGAAACAATAGTGTAACATCACAACATAGAAAGACACACTATAAAATATCAACTGAAATGACTTAACTCAATCAAAGGACATATTAACACCATTGAACATACACTGAACAAATAAATTTGACCTATGACACAATGTATGTTAAATTATTGAGAGAAAAAATATATAATTTATTTATAATTTATCTATACATTTATGAAAATGGAATTACAAAATAAAGAATACCTGAATATATATAGAAAACACTGATAAACTATATACCTAAGTTAGAACAGACTATATAATTGTGTGCTCATTAAACCTTTTGTCTTTTTTGTTTTCTTTACTAATAAATAATAGGTGTAATTAAAAGTGGGCAAACCAGGAGTAAACCCCTCCGGGTATAGTTACCTTTTCCTGGTTCGCTGTTCATTTCGAAAGAAAAACAACATTACTGTACGATTACCAGAAGCTTATTTTGATTTAATTCTCTATGAATTGATTTAAAGGAAATATTAATTGAAAAAAGGTTATATCCATATATTTCTGTATACTGGTATTACTGATACTTGAACTTAGTCTTTCAGAGTTCACAAGTTTTTATATGAGTGCAAACAAATTGAGTTCGTATACTGTGAAAGTACTTTTATTCGTGGGGTACCAATTTTCGTGGTTTTCGTAGATGGTTTTATCCACGAATTTAACTGTCCAACGAATATAATAACTGTTGTCCAATTCCAGACATGGAAAGATCCCCATGTAGGTTTGATTACATGGATACGGTCATATAAACCAACGTACTATGAACTAAATATACATTTTTTTTGTACAACTTCAGACCGGATTTTACCCATTTAATCTTTAAAAAATTTAAAATGTACGACTGTTAACATTTTAATTCTCATGAGAAATATTTTTATCGATGAAAGTCAGATGTCCGGTGATGATATGCGATAATGAAATGTTCCTTTTTCCATAATTCTCATACGAAAAAAAATACTGATTTCATTTTGGGCTTGCTTTTTTATGTCATAATAATTGATTCTACAATTCAAAATATTATGAATTTGTTATCTATGAAGGACGAACAAGTTAGTGAAAATGAACACCTTATTTAACAATGCCCCACAAATCATTATAAAACAACATATGATTTATATAACGAATATTCGATTCTGAAGTCTTCAAATTCGTCACTCGATTTTTTTTTCAGAAAACTTAAATCCACGAATTTAAGAACCCACGAACATGTAACTTTTGCTGAAACCACGAAAATTGATACCCACAAATAAAAATACTTTCACAGTATTGCTATCACGTCGTCTTCGGCGGCATCCGTGGAAAGATTGTTTTCCGGACAATAACTTTAGTTAAAGTGTATGGATCTTTGTGGAATTTACCAAAAGTGTTAATACCACAAAATATATATATATTTATCCCCACTGTTAAGAAATTAGAGGCCAAAAAGGGGCCAACAAACAAGTGTTTTACGGACGGTTAATGTACTTCAGATGATATTTTTGAAGATTTGATAATTAATCAAACATAGTCTACCTCATAGGCGGCAAGACACTGTAACACTGAAAACATAAACAACAGCATAGGAGGCAAGACACTGGCATGAAGAAATACGTACACAACTTGGGGATTCTTGTCCTAACACACCTTTCACCCGAAGTGTTGGCAAATCGACAGTGGCAATAATCTCTCTTTGCTCTGTGTTGCAGGCAACATAATTACTTGGGTCGTTTAGGACCACGAATTCAGAAGCATCATTTTCTGTAATAAACAAGAAATATTAGCAAAGTTATTTTGTTATTGATGCGTGGGATAGTTTCTATATACAATTATATTTATATTGCATTTTTCTATAACAACTTATTTACTGTTTTCTCTTCCAGTCATGTCATGATATGTGTCTGTTGTAAGTCCTCTGTTGTGCACAGTGTATCCCAAACTCTGTCTGACCGACAAAATGTCAGACAAAAAATCATTCGGACAGACAGAAATTTAAAAATATTTTGGTTGAATATTTAGAAGAAAAATCCAATTTCTCTTTCGGTCAGACAAACCCTAAAACAGTTTAGCACAGACTGTGTGCAGTACAATACAAATTTCTGTTACTCTGTTAAATTAATGACATTGGTTTATAAACATAAACGACCCGGCTTATCATTTTTGTCTCGCCTTGACGGAGTCAAAAAGCGAGACATAGGTATGCTGTTTCCGTCGTCGGCGACGGCGTCAACAATGTATTAGTTTGTGATTAGGTCTAGTTCATGGTGAACCACTAGTGGTAGGTCAATGATATTTGGTATGCATTTGTATTAGCATTGGCACATCTCATTACCATGGAGATTAATCGGCCCCTACCCCTCAGTCAAGGTCTATTGACTTTGAAACTTTTCATAGTTTACATGTATTAGTTTATGATTAGCTCAATTTATGGGGAACCACTACTGGTAGGTCAATAATATTTGGTATGCAGTTGTATAAGCACTAGCATATCTCATTTCAATGGAGATTATATGGCTCCGCCCGCTTAGTCATGGTCTATAGACTTTGAAAATTTTGCTAAGTTAACATGTATTAGTTTGTGTTTAAGTCAGTTCAAGGGGAACCATTAGTGGTAGGCCAATGTTAATTGGTGTTCAGTTGTATAAGCATTAGCACATCTCATTTCCATGGAGAATATTTGGCCCCGCCCCCTCAGTCATGGTCTATTTACTTTGAAACTTTTGCTTAGTTTACATGTATTAGTTTGTGATTAGATCAGTTTAAGATGAACTGCTAATGTTAAGTCAATGATATTTGGTATGCAAATTTATTGGCATTTGCAAGTATCGTTTCCATGGAGATTATATAGCCCCACCCCTGATCATGGTTCATTGACTTTTAAACTTTTACATAGTTTACAAGTTAATGTTTGTGTTTAGGTTTGTTTAAAGGGAACGACTTATAATAAGTCAATGGTATTTGGTATGCAGTTTTATTAGCATTGGCACATCTCATTCCATGGAGATTGTTTAGCCATGTACCTTCAGTCATGGTTCATCGACTTTGAATATTTGCATAACTTACATGTTAAAGTATTGCTATTTTAATTTCGACATTTGCATTATCAAAATTACAAAAAGGCGAGACATAATTCTGTGATAACAGTTTATTAAACAAAAGCGGTCTTTCTCAACAATAAAGCTAGCTGAACGTCATTATATAAGTAGGGGAAATGCTTATGAAATTGCTGTATTTGTATTAGATTTTGATTTAACTTATCAGTTTACAATGCTAGTGCTGTACCTTTTTTGTCTGAGTAGTGGACAATAAAAGCAATTGTGTCATGCACCATTGTAGGAACATCAATAACTGAAAAATTGATTTCACTGAATGTACTGAGGAAAGAGGTCCATTCATCCCTTTCAGCTTCGGTGATGCCCTTTGTTGTGTCCACATAATTGTAAAAAATACCGTCTCCTACTTTTGGTAATGCTTTACTTGGCCTGTAATCTTGTAAAAATTGCTGAATTTCTACATTCATTTCTTTTGCTTTTCGAAGAAGAGATTTAACTTCTTTACCTGAAGCAAATATTTGTGTTTATAAGCCTTCATGTGCCCGGGAAACTTAATACATTAGATGAAACGATTTTATAAACAACTAAAGTTAGACAGAGGTAATCATGGTTGTTAAAAATTGCACTGTAAAATAGAGGCTACCCCCAAAAAAAGTTCGTCACCCAAAGCAAGGACTTATATGAACTAATGATTTCCTTATGAAAAGTCATAGGTGAACCAAAATGGCCCAGAGTCTGCCTCTTAAGTTACCTGAAGGGGCAGGACCTTTTTCGGGACGTCGGGATCGGGTGTTTTTAAGCTCGGGATTTCGGGATTGATCCTGTCGGTGTTCGGGAATTCTTTTTTCGAATTTCGGGATGTCGGGACTTAAATTTCTTTAAATTGAGGACCTCGGGATTTCATGTATTTAAGCCTGGGATTTCATAATCAGGACCCCCTCCGACCCCCTTCTTAAATGAAAAATGGTTCAAGGTTTAATAATCTTTAACTACACGGCGATTTCATGCGGGAAGCCCAAAAAGTAGCAGCGAAAAGTAAAACAAGAATCCCCATAACACAACATAAAAACTGAAAAACACCCAAACTTATAAAACCCAACTTTTACAAACACAGGCACTTATTGGGAAGACCCCCATAATTTGTATTGATTTAATACAATTTAACCTAGTTTGAAGTTAATTTACTATCTCTGATACAACCCCTTATTTTATTATTGGATAAAACAGAATTAAGGGGTTATATAAGAGATGGTAAATTCACTCGAAAGTAGGTGAGACATGCGCAGTAGTGATATAATGGTATGCACATTGAAGGTCCCAATTGGGGTACTTCAATCCTACTTTCTATTTTCCATTTCTCTATATTCTTTGTTATTCATATGCAGTCTGTTATTTTTAAGAACATTTTTTCATAATGCTTCTAACTGTATGTTAAGTTTTTTTTGACAAAGTACAATCTAGTTCTAGCACAAAACCTAATGGGAAGGGAGATACGAATTGTTGATTTAAAACCCATGAACACGGAATGTGAAAAATATTTTTCTGTCACATGGTCAAGGACACTTGTAAAAACAAAACCGAAGTTTTGAAAATGAAAGATAAAGAAAATGCAGACACTGGGCAACCGGTAAATGATAAGGTACAACAGGCACCACTGAAGGCAGTGAAGGTGTACACATTACGAAATTAATAAACATACGTATGTGTATATACAACATAAATGTATAATTTGGTCAAATACCATGTAAAGTTTATGCAGAATGCATATGGCTTCACATTTTACGATTGAAGAAAAACGCCGTTTCTCGTGTTAAAACAATTTAAATAAAAAAACATATCAACATTGAAGATTTAAATATGGCCGCTCATAAGCAGACGACACATTCACGGCCGTTTGTAGTAGTCATTACATGAGCATTTGTGTTTTATAAACCAGTGTGAAAATATTGTATATAGTATTACCATTTAATCCAAAAGGATTGTTGATTAATTCCAGTGGCAGTGGCATGCCTATGTCAAGACCTCCATGGATCCCATAAAAGTTTGGTGCCCCCTGATGTAGTTCTAATATCTTCTGCGTAACAGGGTCATTTGCCTTGGCTTGAGGTCCACCACCAGTCGTCCTTGCATGGACCTTCTCCTTTGCTGCCTCCTCCCTTGCTGCCCCACACGATTTCCTCCACTTTTCTTTGATTTGGGTGGCAGTTCTCTGTGCCCCACCCCTAGCTTCAACTGTTTGGCAATATCTTCAAAATGTGAAATAGTCACCATATCGTTGTATATAGTATAAACGTCTTCATTATCCGAGTCCATTTTCTCTATCAAATTTTGTAAAGGTGCGTGTAAAAATTGTTTATACAGTTGTATTTGATTGTCAGTTATTTTGTACCATGCTGGTATCTTACTAAATGAATTCAATACTCCATGATGAGTATTATGTTGCAACACTGTTTCGGCTTAAATTGGTAAATGATCAGATGTACTACTAACCGAACCATTACTAAAGATTTCATAAGAAATTAGCTGCCTATATATACTATCATTCATAAGAGTACAATCATGCATTGATGTCTTATTAAAAAATGTATAATCTGGCCGTTCATGTTGAATCTTTCCACCTGGAAAAAGCAATTGACATCTTTTAACAAAATTCATTAGCTCAACAACTTGTACTTGTTTGAACATAATTCATCTTTTTCAAGACAACTGGCATTTAAATCCCCAACGATTATAACATTGCCATAATCACTGTAATGTGTGTATGATGTATCTAATATACCAAGTTCATTTCTATAGTTATCTACAGATTCATCGTATGGTAAATATGCACCAAAAATAAAAAATGACCCTTTAGATGGGCTTTTGATCTCAAAGCCAACAATTCTTTTTGAGTTCGTATCGTGAATTTCATTAATAGAAAATTGAAGTGTGCTCTTATACAGGATGGCAATTCCGCCTGTACCATGATATGCGTTATAAAAGTTAAGCAAGGAAACAGCTTTACATATACATTTGTATCCTTGCTCAATACTGGACAAATCATTTAAGGATCTGTTTTTAAGTTTATGTTCAGAGATAATACAAACATCCCAGTCAGTATCTTTTAATAAATTACTTAAACATACAGTAGAAGTCATAATGCTTCTTACATGTCTAACATTCCATGCTAAAAGTTTTAGACTAGACAGTATAAGCAACAAAGTAACCAAGGTTACCAGAGTAAATAGTATATGACACTGCATTTTAATAGATTATTATGAGTCCGGTTCATATTGAGCATTATCCGTGAAGCGTTGATTCCATTTACAGTTGCCTAACCATGTTCTACAATAAACACCTTTCGGCCAGAAGTTTTCTGTTTCGACAATTTCTGTGCCATTTCTGCGATATCAACATTATTAAGCTTTGCAGATATCCTGCGGTGATTGTTCTTTGTGCTGAATAAACGTAAGTATGTCGCATGTACATAATCAGGACCCCCTCCGACCCCCTTCTTAAATGAAAAATGGTTCAAGGTTTAATAATCTTTAACTACACGGCGATTTCATGCGGGAAGCCCAAAAAGTAGCAGCGAAAAGTAAAACAAGAATCCCCATAACACAACATAAAAACTGAAAAACACCCAAACTTATAAAACCCAACTTTTACAAACACAGGCACTTATTGGGAAGACCCCCATAATTTGTATTGATTTAATACAATTTAACCTAGTTTGAAGTTAATTTACTATCTCTGATACAACCCCTTATTTTATTATTGGATAAAACAGAATTAAGGGGTTATATAAGAGATGGTAAATTCACTCGAAAGTAGGTGAGACATGCGCAGTAGTGATATAATGGTATGCACATTGAAGGTCCCAATTGGGGTACTTCAATCCTACTTTCTATTTTCCATTTCTCTATATTCTTTGTTATTCATATGCAGTCTGTTATTTTTAAGAACATTTTTTCATAATGCTTCTAACTGTATGTTAAGTTTTTTTTGACAAAGTACAATCTAGTTCTAGCACAAAACCTAATGGGAAGGGAGATACGAATTGTTGATTTAAAACCCATGAACACGGAATGTGAAAAATATTTTTCTGTCACATGGTCAAGGACACTTGTAAAAACAAAACCGAAGTTTTGAAAATGAAAGATAAAGAAAATGCAGACACTGGGCAACCGGTAAATGATAAGGTACAACAGGCACCACTGAAGGCAGTGAAGGTGTACAGATTACGAAATTAATAAACATACGTATGTGTATATACAACATAAATGTATAATTTGGTCAAATACCATGTAAAGTTTATGCAGAATGCATATGGCTTCACATTTTACGATTGAAGAAAAACGCCGTTTCTCGTGTTAAAACAATTTAAATAAAAAAACATATCAACATTGAAGATTTAAATATGGCCGCTCATAAGCAGACGACACATTCACGGCCGTTTGTAGTAGTCATTACATGAGCATTTGTGTTTTATAAACCAGTGTGAAAATATTGTATATAGTATTACCATTTAATCCAAAAGGATTGTTGATTAATTCCAGTGGCAGTGGCATGCCTATGTCAAGACCTCCATGGATCCCATAAAAGTTTGGTGCCCCCTGATGTAGTTCTAATATCTTCTGCGTAACAGGGTCATTTGCCTTGGCTTGAGGTCCACCACCAGTCGTCCTTGCATGGACCTTCTCCTTTGCTGCCTCCTCCCTTGCTGCCCCACACGATTTCCTCCACTTTTCTTTGATTTGGGTGGCAGTTCTCTGTGCCCCACCCCTAGCTTCAACTGTTTGGCAATATCTTCCCGGACCTGCTTTTTCCTTTGGTTTGTAATAGAGCTGTTGAATTTAGCATTTATGATGTTGATGTTCATTTCAACTAGCTCTGTCAGGGAGACCTTTTCTGCATCCGTAAAATTTGCAGCCCTTTTCCCCTTTTCTGGTTCCATTTTGCAAATGTGACAGGAAGTACTAAGAGTTATGGGACTTGTCCACTGGATAATATTTTGTCCAATGGATAACTAACCAATCCTTAACCAGGTTTTGAACAACAGAATTTAACCACTGGATAGTAATCAACTGGATAAACAGTTATCCAGTGGACAAGCTTATCCAGTGGATAACTTTATCCAGCCTTTTGAACAACCGGGCCCAGAGGTCCAAAACGGTTTAGTAAATGGATTAAATCTATATTTAGGGACTGTTTTATCTGCTGCAAAATGTGAAATAGTCACCATATCGTTGTATATAGTATAAACGTCTTCATTATCCGAGTCCATTTTCTCTATCAAATTTTGTAAAGGTGCGTGTAAAAATTGTTTATACAGTTGTATTTGATTGTCAGTTATTTTGTACCATGCTGGTATCTTACTAAATGAATTCAATACTCCATGATGAGTATTATGTTGCAACACTGTTTCGGCTTAAATTGGTAAATGATCAGATGTACTACTAACCGAACCATTACTAAAGATTTCATAAGAAATTAGCTGCCTATATATACTATCATTCATAAGAGTACAATCATGCATTGATGTCTTATTAAAAAATGTATAATCTGGCCGTTCATGTTGAATCTTTCCACCTGGAAAAAGCAATTGACATCTTTTAACAAAATTCATTAGCTCAACAACTTGTACTTGTTTGAACATAATTCATCTTTTTCAAGACAACTGGCATTTAAATCCCCAACGATTATAACATTGCCATAATCACTGTAATGTGTGTATGATGTATCTAATATACCAAGTTCATTTCTATAGTTATCTACAGATTCATCGTATGGTAAATATGCACCAAAAATAAAAAATGACCCTTTAGATGGGCTTTTGATCTCAAAGCCAACAATTCTTTTTGAGTTCGTATCGTGAATTTCATTAATAGAAAATTGAAGTGTGCTCTTATACAGGATGGCAATTCCGCCTGTACCATGATATGCGTTATAAAAGTTAAGCAAGGAAACAGCTTTACATATACATTTGTATCCTTGCTCAATACTGGACAAATCATTTAAGGATCTGTTTTTAAGTTTATGTTCAGAGATAATACAAACATCCCAGTCAGTATCTTTTAATAAATTACTTAAACATACAGTAGAAGTCATAATGCTTCTTACATGTCTAACATTCCATGCTAAAAGTTTTAGACTAGACAGTATAAGCAACAAAGTAACCAAGGTTACCAGAGTAAATAGTATATGACACTGCATTTTAATAGATTATTATGAGTCCGGTTCATATTGAGCATTATCCGTGAAGCGTTGATTCCATTTACAGTTGCCTAACCATGTTCTACAATAAACACCTTTCGGCCAGAAGTTTTCTGTTTCGACAATTTCTGTGCCATTTCTGCGATATCAACATTATTAAGCTTTGCAGATATCCTGCGGTGATTGTTCTTTGTGCTGAATAAACGTAAGTATGTCGCATGTACATTGTTATTTTCTAAATAACTTAAGATGCCAGACTGCGTAGATTTTAAGTCAATTGCCGACAGGTATTCTATTCTTTGTAACACCCGTAAAAAAGTTTTCATTTGTCGTTTCAACTTTGCCTGTCAAACCTTTAAGTTGAACGGGTAATTTATACGTAAGGTGACTGTTTTCCGTATTTTGTTTCGCAATGTCTATGTTTTCTTCGCTGTGCGTTTCACACGTCCTGTAGGGCAAAACTGTTACGTGTTGATTTAATCGATCATGCGTGCTCGAAAGTTTTTAATTTGTCGTTTTCAGTTTGTAGGTTTTTGATAGTTCTTTTATTTTCAGTTTCGTTTTTCTCTAATTGTATTAATCTTTCAAGGAGTGTTTGTACAGTTACCCTCATTTCGATGATCTTTTACTTGTGTCACAGTTTTACTTTGATCACTACTTGATTTATGATCATCTTCTCTGAACACATCATCAATGCTCGAATCATCACCGTTAAGGAACATATATATTATGTAGCAGTCCTTTGCATATTTACGTGTAGTTTCCAATATCATTATAGATTTACGTATCTTATTTAGATTAGATACTTTTAGCTAGCTGAAGTAACTGTGAGAATTCTGTGAAACTGTATTGTTTATTGTATTTGAGTTTTTGGTATGCAATTCTATATAACCGATCTCTTGCTGGTCTTATGGGAGCGTGTTCGCCTCGAGTGCGGCAGGTAGTAAGTTCGAACCCCGACCGGGTCAAACAAAGACGTTAAAATTGTATTATTTGTTAATGGTATCTCATCATGTATATGCATGAATCGTTATAATAACTTCTACCTTATAATATTCTCTTCTGTATTCGGTCAAACGCCTTATCATGTAAAGAGGAGTAGATCGTATTGTTGATAATATAAACAAAAACATAGGCTGAAGCAAGTTTATTTACATTTATATGCACATGTAACAAATGAAACATATTTTAAACGTAAATAAATTTAGCATTAAAGGTCACATTGAAAGGTGTTTCAACTTGCATAAAACTGTTTCTTAGTAAAGTTTTGAAATACGATCATATCATTTAACGTCAAATGTGT